TTATTACTATTGTATTTGGATAAGAGAGACTAATAACTGGTGCGCCAATTTGGTAGAAGCGAAAACGTGTCTCATTAGAATAAAATGCTGACAATATGATTGATGGACGCATGGTAAACTCGGTACTCATTTCTTACTGTGAATAGTAAAAATCAACTTCTATAAATGGTTATGTATAATTAAATGATTGAACTAAAACTAAAAAATGAGTAAGAACAATAAAAAATAAAAATAAAATACAATAAAAACAGGTATAACCCTTTCACTGCATAAGTTTTGTCATCTACGTCATTTTAAATCCAAGGGTTTACTAACTGAACATTTGAGTAATTAATTTTTGTCACAGGTTTAATCGATTACTTTTTTAATTTTTAAATAGGCTTTTGTAAAAACTTACAACCATTCCTAAGAACACTATAATAGCAGAAAACGATAAAAAATTTTCAGTATTTGTAGTTATTAGAAGTTCAAAGCTCTGTTATTGCCAAGGTATCTAGAAATAGAGTCATATTATTTATATTGTAATAAATTCGTCCAAGCAATTATCCAATAATTAATGAAAATTAAACATCTAATTGTTCTACAACTAATCCAACAATACTGTTTATATTTTGCGACACAAATGAACTATTGAAGTGATTCGTTTTAAACTTTTGGACATACGGCGTAAAGTCTATTAACTCATCTTTGATATCCTTAAAATGACGTGGAAAAAAGATTATTTTCAAAAAATACGCTCTACTATTGTAATTGTTTTTTTTTAACAAAAATTTGAACCCTCTTCTATGCTTAATGTTAAGTTTATTTATAAAATCATAAAAATTAATAGTAGAACGACTTTGTCTTGATTGAATATCTCCGTTCCACGCCCTTTTCGAAGAAAAAAAATGTTCCCAATATCCTGAACGTCTGTTGATCACACGGAAAATGTGTGTTTATGTCATTATTAAATATAATCATCATCTCGGCTGCGATCTCATTCTTGTTTAATTGCACGCAGAGCGTTTTAGTAAAAAGTAAAACTGGATATGGTTTTGTAACGCTTTTAGTCGTAATTTAAATGAAAATTGTTTGGCAAAGCAATTGTGAAGAGTAATGGAGGGAGGTGAGGTTCAAAGTTATAAACGGAATTTGTCGATGTACATACGAGTATAAGTGAGAGCACGCAAGTTTGTAAAAAAGCTGTATAGCCAAGAGAAAGAAAAGGAATGAGGCAGCAGGTATTATTGATGTGCAACTTTCAATCTTGTAATTATGAATGAACCATATATAATGGAAGCGATTGCAATAAAGAGATGGAAATGTTTAGCTTAATAGTGGATTCCTTAAAATTTTGTAGAGGATAAGGTAGTGAGGAAATATATAGTAGTCCGTAAGTTAAATTATTTACTATTAAGTGTTGTATTGTTTTAATGCATTTATTTAATCTTGGGATTTTTAAAAAGTCTATGCTTCCATCCGTTAGTGCATAAAGGTTCTCGAAAGCGATATGCTGATTCGATTTTTTTTCTTAGTATAAACATCGTTTCATACAATATATTCGCCATTAGTTGTACTAAGAAGATGTATAGCAAAATGGAATTTAGAAATTATTTCAAGCACATGTTAAAAAAGAAAATAAAAAGAAAACTGTGCAATATCTCAATAGATGCAATGTAAGTATGGATTTGTAGAGAATATCGAAATGTTTGGTATCACTGCGATTGCAAGCATGTGGTCCAAGGCATCTCGGTTACTCTCAGTTTCGATGTGTACAGAAATGGAAAGCAAATAATACATCCAAATAATAAGATTTTGGTCAATACTTTGAAGAAATATTTAAAAATGCTTGAATTGAAAGAAAAGAGAGGAAGTTTAAAGAAATGAAATATTAGTCATGAAAATTGAGAAGGGTATAAAAAAGTGCGTGAATGCGACAAGAAAAAAAAGGAATTAAGCGATTAAAGAGTGGATGGAAAAGTACTAAAGAAAGGTACATAACTTTTATTATTACTATTATTATTGTTTGCTCGAAGCTTCTATAACCGGGGATGGCATATTATTATGTATGTATAGATGCGCTATATTTTGAAATGAACGCAGCCTCATCGTCATGAATTCACACATAGACGCAGACTTCCTGGTTTTGTCGTATAATTTATATTTATGATATTGTTCATGTTTACTAGAAGTATATAAATATATATAATATATCAGAGATTATTATTCCCCGGAACACCTACATAATGTCTACGTCTCATGTAATAAAAGAAAATTTACAAACTCTAGCTGTGCGTTTATTTTTTATTGAACAATCCAAACATCCATGTTCGTTGCTCTTTAATTTTTTTTACCCCAAGTAAAAAAAAATTGCATTTTCAGCCACAAAACCATTTAAATTATCAAATCCTGGCACTGAGTTTTCGTTGACCACATAGTTATAATTTCTTTAAATCACACTTTCAACATATTCAAATTGTCTGCTTTTTTAATTTATCTTTAAAAAAAATTACAAATAATATATTTTCAACAAAGAATACAATAATGAACTTTTGACAGCGCAAACTGTAACATGAAAGCCACACATATAAAAGTAATTTGTCGACAACGTCGGTCTGCTGAAGGCACGCTTTTTCATTTGAATCTCAAATAATCTGTCTCTTCACCACGTAGGCGTCCGGATTTTTCATTCTCTCTCCGTTTCTCCTCCATCACGACAAAAAGAACTGAAAAAAAAAAAAAACACAAGGAGAAAAGACGACAGCAGTGGTGGCGGTGGCAAAGGAGAGATGAAAAAAGGTCGGATCTCCTCGGCTACAGGATTGCAAGCGCGAGACGAGTTTGAGAAAAGGAGAGCGAAAAAAGGGAAAAGGTGCCGTCAAGGGTGGGAGGAGGGGTGGCCTCGGCAAGGAAGGCAAGGAACCCCTGGCTGCCGCGCGGAACAAAAGAAATAAACGAGGGCGTGGTATGTGCGTGACGTTGTTATATAAGTGCGCGCAAACAACAACGCGTGGCGTCTACCGACGACGAAGACGACGACGTGCTAAGCGAAAAAAGTCGTCGTCGTGACTATACAAAAGTCGCACGTACCAGAGAGAAAGGAAGGGACGATTTCTTAGATAAATCGTGCCTCGTTTGGCTGAGCTTTCTTTCTTTATTTCTTTTCTACTTTTCTCATCATTTTTTCTTTCTTTTCCTCTGTTTTTCATCGGTGGATTGCCAGTGGGGAAGTTCGATTTGTTTTCTGAGTTGGGCACTTCGGAGAGGCTTATATATGTCGTTGATAAGCTCCACATCATAAAGTAAATCGTTGTTGACGTAGTCTTTGATCAATTTATAAATGCTCATACATTTTTTTTTCTTTAACTTACTGGTAGGGAAACGTGAATAATGAATGCTGAGCTTTTTATGCTTTACTGAGACGATCATCATGGAATTAAGCAAATAATATCCTTATGAGGAGCTTATTTCCGTCATAGATATACTTTAAGTATATAATCTGTTAATCCTTGGAGGTCTGGTTCAAATTCAACATCTTCGATGCAGTATATTAGTTTTTGTAATTTTAATAGTGTTAGCGCTGGTATTCTTCATCGATAAATAATTTTTTAAATAAGAATTTTACCTGCATGAATTGGAAATCAATTGCATTAAAGTAATGCTTTGTTGAAGTAAGAGTTCTCACATAATAATAAAGCAATTTTACATGACATTTTATTTTTTACAGAAATAATTCTAAAAATGATGATACACTCATTTTATCATAATAAGTAACATATCAAGACTCTATTGGGCCTGGCTTTATGATTTTTAATAAATTAAATTGGAAAGATATTCGATTTTACATAGGCTCTTACGGAGAGGTCGTTGTGAATTGGTTACCAAAAAACACATGTTTACTTTAAACTAGGTAAATTTCTTACAGAATCGCATAATAAACCGAAATATTAGACGTCATTGACAAAACAACTATCAACTAATTTTTCACCGAGCATAGCTTCTTTGTTTTCTTATGTATAAATTGGACTAACGATTCTTCAAACGTTTTGTACAAGAATACTGGCTAAATAAATTTAAGCTTAAATGTCAGTTTTGAGATATACATTACCTCTAAAACCCCTTTATTCAATAGTAATTAAACAAAAGCCGTAAAAAATTAAAATAAAAATGAAATACAATTGTCATATCAAAAAAAATTATTAGCTGATCTTATACGTACATGTTTCTTATATTATTTTACTTAAAAGAAAAAATAAGGCACTCCGATAGATTAGTCGTGCCTAAAAATATGCTATGATTTGGAGAATTTTGTCGAGAACTGTTCTATTGAAATGATCCAATGAGATAATCAAATTGTGCAAGCTATGAAATATTTAAACTTTATGATAAAAATTTTATCATGATAATACCCGACGAAAGAGTTTATTGAAATATGATTCAAATGATAGTCATAGTTTGCGTCACAAGTGAAATAATAAGAATTCGAATTGATTGTGATAAAATTTATTGGAACGTTAACTTACAATCAAGATAATGAATCAATGAATTCTAATTTTTCAAGCGTGTAGCGAGAAAAATCACCGAATATAATTTTTCATGGTCACGATCTTCACACAGCGTCAATTCCTTTTTTCAAGTTCTTGTGCACAAAAGTTGCGCGCGTAATATTTATTTAGTGAACAAAAACTTGACGGGAAAAACCTAAAAATGTTTGCCATAGTACATTACAATAGAAGTATCTTACAATGAACTCGCACTCGTATCTATAACCTTGATTAGGGTATAAAGAGAGACATTTTTGACTATGCCGAAGCACTCAGCATTTTTAGTCATCCCAATCGACTTGTGTCGATTTTTTTGCCTAAAAATGGCGTCCAAACTTGTACTACTTGTATTTACTGCGTGTATTCTATCTCTAGTCGAGAATCATTCGGCCTCAGCATTTGTGTGGAATGCTATTGGTGGTGCACTCGGGCAGGCACTGCACCAAAGTCCAAAAGTACCATACTCGCCGTACAACCCAAGTGTCCCTGGCATTAACTTGGGCGCATTGGGGATGCCAAATTTAGGAATTTCATTACCACAACCATTTAACCCACAAAGTAATCCAGCTGCTAATTGGCAGCCCAATCTATTCGGTGCACCAGGACAACCACAAATAATGTCCCAACCATTTTACTTGCCAAACCAGTATCCTCAGGTAGCTCAGGCAAATCCGCTACAAGCAGTTGCTGAACCACCTGTTCCATCACAGTTTGTTGGAGCTTGTTTGAATACAGCCACAAATCACTGGGTAAGTTCATTGATTTCTATTATAGTTACCTCAAAAAGGAGTCTTATTTTTTGTTGACAAATATTTGTAATGAAACATTATAAATTTTTATAAGTATAAAAAGTACATTATGAATTTTTATAAAAGGTCTTATATACATATAGTGTATAGAATGTGTTCTATGAATAATTGACAGAACTTTCAAGGAAATATATGAACACTTTTATAAGAACTCTGCAATTATTGTGTATGTTACGACACTACTGGTAAAAAGACGGTAAATTTTCTTACTGACTTTTTTAGAACAAATAAATAATGATTAACTTATGAAAAAGTTTATTTGTGTATTAATAGTTGTTAAAATATTTTAGTAATGTTTTATAGAACTAATGCAATGAAAAATGTATCGATCGAATATTTTATGATAACATCATGGTATACTGTAAGTTGGTATCTTTTAGAATTAAAATAAATATTTTTTGGTTTTTAATTTTACACTTTTTAAAGTCAGAGGATAAAATAATTTTCATTGTTT